TAATATCACAATACAATAGAAGGATGACTGTAATACTGTGGGTTTAGGTGTTCTAATTTCAACAGTGAACTAAAGGTACAGTACATTCTCGTCTCATTTTAAGTATGGATTACAAACCATCGCTTACAGTCTTGATGCTAATAATGTGTAAATTGAAGCTAAAGGCTGAAAAAATTGGATCATTGTTATAGCAGTAGCAGTACAGTGTTACATCAGCCACTGCAAACACAACGTGTCACTGGTTGTGTCCCATTCCAAAACCGCCTTTTCGGACAAGAATATAAAACAATATTGGCTCAACAGCCAACCAACCTACTGGAGCGTAGCTATATGGCACAGTGGACCTATTCATCTGGAGGATACATTAGGATAATAAATAATGAGGCTATTATTTTCAAGGCTGTGGTAACTTCAAATAGAGTCAAGATTGATATTGTGTCCAAGCTAGGCACTGGAGGACCATTGAACAATATACTTCTGTATGCTTTGTTTAAGACTCATCCTAAAAGTCACACCATATCATACCCTAGAGAAGTCGGTAAGTCAACATTTTTAAATCGGACATTACTTTATTGTCCACATAAAGTCTAATAAAGAAGAACACAGAGGTAACATCTTTGCTGAGGGAACCTCTTAGCTGAAGTGTAAAAAGGCTGTCCTGCACACATCAGAATTATTATCCTGGTTGCCAAAACTGTCCACTAAATTGAAAGACTTTTGATAATTGTTTTGGACATGTTTTGCAAAATGTTAAGAAGTTAAAGTTAGCATTCTAATGCTTGAGTTGAAATTGTTTCAGCAAACTTCCAAGGTTACATAGTTGTTTTTAACATAATGGCCAGTATTCTATTCAGATCAGCCACTTAACAGTTTAGGAAACAGTTTCAAGCCAGTTAGAAATACAAGTACTCAGCTAAACCATGGGTTGGATCCAAAAATCCATATTATACGGCTGTGCTAAGAACTAATCATTAAATCAAAAAGCTGAGTCATAGTTTCCAAAAATATTTGATGTGCTCCATGTAACTATTTTACCACTACATTACTGCCACTAGTTGAACAACAACCACATCTAACAAAGTCTCTGTTATCAGCCTTGTTTGTTCAACCTTGCCACTCATTAGCAGACCCCCCCTCTGGCCGTATGAATGGATAGGAGAGGTCAATATGCTGACCCTGCGTGCCCACTCACTGCCCATACTGCAACAACAGAGGCCCGTGTGTTCAGCACATTGCATCACAACCCCTCTAATGAGCAGAGCCATCAGCCTGAGAGCACTAATGCAATTATGCAACACAAGCCCCGGGACTGTGAGCCGGGCTGTGGAGGAGGAAGAAAGAACTGGATGTGACAATTCGGGGGTTTGTTATCTTACCATTTCTATGCAGCTAAAGATGCATTTACTTTATACTGCTTCATGATAGGAAGAGCGGGATACAAAAAAGAGATACAATTGACAAGAACATGGCAAATAAAAAACAGATATAGATAAGGATTGCAGATGTAAAATTACCAAAATAAATTAGTTTGAAGAAGCAAACACAGAGCTGAATCAGAAAGGAGTCAACTTTAGCATGTGTTTTATGTAAGCTGTCTGACTGAAGCCGTCTTCGGGGCACAGCTTCGTAGTAAATATTATAACACCTCTAGAGCTGCCAATGTTTTATCTCCTTCTCTGCAAGACTTGTACATGTAGTGCTTTATACCAAAAGAAGGCTAGTGATAAGAACACTACAGAAACTTAAGCTAAACACTGAGACAATCACATGAACAAGTTAATATAGGCAGGGTTACAATGAAATTATAGGATCAGCAAATGGAGCGTCAACTGTGGCGTATATAGTGCCAACTGCAAAAGCAATTTCAAAGATGAAGCTTGATCTTTTCCTGACTGGACATTTTGACTTAGTGTTATAGCTATGGCCTCAGTTATGGATTCAGCTTTTTCAAATGTTTGAGTGAAGGGAGACCGGCTGTGGGTCACCTCGGAATCTCAAATACTTTCGGTTTAAGACGTGATATTTAAACTGTAACGTTCCCAACTGCAGACATCTAAACCACTGCATGTTAGACTTTCTCATGCTCACAAAATAGTACTCTCAGGCAATATAAAAGCACCACAAATCATAATTTCCTAAAATACTTCGTGTCGATGATTTTTATAAGCAATTCCCCTTCTTAATAGCAGGAATCAATGATAGGTTAATTCAGAAACTACCACCTAATGCAAGTGGGTAGAGGACCTACTGAAGAGTACCACTGACAGGTCATAAAAACAGAGCATAAACGCTGAAGATGAAACTGACCATGTGGGCTTTTACATTTTCCAAATCAGGTTCATACCTTTAAACATATTTTTATGACAAATGTCAATTTAACTGCCCTACAGTATAAGCAATTCTAGCATGACTGGATACTTCATTAAGTCAGAATAATTATTATATGAAATTGTCCTTTAGACCAAAATTAATCTAATCTGTTACATATGCATGGCCTTAGATGTTCACTGAATGTGCCACTATCTGGTCATTTAAATGCTTGCTTGATGTTTTGTAAGAGGACTAATGGAGAACAAACATTCTGGAGTTGCAGAAATAAGCCTTTTCAGACACTGGGATACTAAACATTGCTATCCAGAAAATGAGGGAGGTAAAAGTGGCTTTATATTAATAATTATTGTGTGAAAATTAGTTCTGTGCAAAATACAGCATAACAGCAAAGAAACCTTAAGGATCATTCCACCTCAACAAGAAAATAACAGCGGCCATATACTGTATGGCATTATTTTAGAACAATTTACAAAATCTGATGGCAATAATAAACAAACATTTGAAAATAGGCTGTTATTTGACCCAAGGGGTCTAAAGGAGAATGGCTATCAGCCGTGGCTAAGATTACATTCCCATAGTCTGGATTCCCCAGGTACCAGTGTTAAGTGTCGAGCATGAAGATAAGAGGAACTTGATTAGCAGGAGTGCTATATTTACTGCCATTAGGCAGGACCCTTTACCCTCCAAGGTGGTCCAGATCACCGTGAATAACCATCTGAGGAATCTTTATGTATTCTGGTTTATGGCACGAGGAAACATACTCATTTTACGTGTTCAACTCCTACAATTGAACAGGTGGTTGAGGAGCGATGGTACATTTAGCCACTTCAACAGGATAGACAACAAGAAGTTTGTCAGAGAGATGATAGATCAAGTCCCAACAATTTGAGACTTTTCAATCATTGAATTGGCTTCTGTAATGCCTCTTTCCCTGGATGGCCATTAAAGAACACTGCAATAAGGAGCAAATGCCACATTCCTCTGTAAGAGCTTCAACGTTTTAGGAAGCAATGCTAGTGCCAGTACATTTAAGCAACAACATATTCTCACATATTTGTATAAATACCAAAGCATCTATGAAAGTATTTTACATTTCAGACAATAAATATAAATTCAATTCAGAACTGAAATTCAAGAGCTTTGTGTTTGCAGTTTTTCTGTTAAGGAAACCTTTGAATGTCTTTGTCATTTTATACATCAGGTTGTAAACAGATATCCAGTATCAGGAAGGGATGAGGATAAGAAGGGCAAAACAGAATGACAGTACCAAGGGAATTTAAGATATCAAGACCCTGAAGAGAAACAATAGTACTTATGTACAGCCTGTGTAAGCTCCCTGATGTGTAGAAAACAAATACTTCAAAAGATTATGTACTCTATTCTGGAATTTAGTCCAATAAATAAATATATGTCAAATTCTGTCTCCATTTGGTCTCTTTCCAACAGAGTAACTACTTATAAGACCTACAACCCAGGTTGAGTCAAGCAATAAAGCTATTTCTGTACATAATATTGTGGCACTGTAAAACCAAAATGTTTTTTACCATACATTTAGTTTCAGCGGCACTAGAACGAATCACATTTATTTTATAATGTCACATTTACATGATAAAAATGGTGCTCCCTGTGATGTTTACAGGGAACCGACTAAGTGGCTCCCTGTGTGTCAGGTAGGGTAAAAAGGGAACCAAAAGAACCCGTGCTAGGAACCAAGGCTGGGAACCACCCCTAACTGTGTACCCAAGGGGTCAAGGTGACATTCCACAACACCTCTGAGACCGGTCTAATGGAGGGATTGGAGCATGGCTTTTGTTGAGAGGGAAAGAAGAGACCATGAAAACGAGTGTAACAAGAGATGGAAGTATGTACAAGGGACAGAGGGAAGAAAATGAGATACCGCGCCAAATTCTGGGAAGGTAAAAAGGTGAAGCTTTTCTCCAAATTAAGTTTATCGAAATATGAAATTATAGGATGACATTTAACAGGGTAATTTGTGTTGTTTGTTCATTTAATTGTACCTTGTACTCTCATAAACATTTGTTCTTTTCCTGAAGCCTAAAACATCTTCCAGGGTTGATGTAGGCTATAAAACTTTGCAATCCACCATCCTGTAATCTAAATTTGCTGATGCTATTTCTGAGGTAACCGTGGTCGCAACCATGGTTTTATTTGACACCATTTCCCCTGTCCACTGTCACAAAAGACAAAAGTTGTTCTCTGGGTCTATAATTTTGGGTTCTGGCAGAACAGATATACAATTCTCTTTTGGCATATGGGTTGTAAAAATCTATTCAGATCTCTTTAATTTGCATTCCCTTTAAAGAGTCAATGCGTTCATAACATAACCATAGAAACAAAGGAGTATACCGCACTAAATGATCAGTTTCTGTGTACAGAAACATGACATGAAATAGTTTAAGCACAAATGTATATAAATCAAACTAACATGTTAAAATTATTTTTCTTTCATGAGTCAGACATCGAGCTAAAACACTTGAAATTAAGAAAAGCTGTGTCTTGGCATAAAAATGCACAGTCACATTATTTAACAATGAAATAAAACCCCTTTGGTCAGAGTATGTTTTGTGACATAACCCTACAAAAGTGACCTCTCAACCAGCAGAGTACAGGTGCAACAGTCCATCAAGCAGAGGAAATGTAACTCTTACCGTCATAAAACCAAAAGACTGGAGACTTGCTATGAAGAGTCAGGTATAGGTGAGAAGTGAGCCAAAGTGCTTTTCCTCCCTCTGTCTCTTCTTGTACTCTGATATATTATTTCGTCTTCTACCCTCCACTCAGGATAAGTCTCTCCTCCCGGGTCAAGCTGTATTCCCAGATCTTACCCCGTTTGATGCCTGGGAAGCACAGAGACAACAGAACGAGGAGAAAGTTAGAGAGCCAAAGAGTGGGAGTGACGGGGAAGAGAGTTCCCTGTTTGGGTGAAGCAGTGATCAGATACGGCTATTTTCAGACTCAGGCATGCTCGTCTATGAGACTGGAAAGTTACCCCCCCCCCCAGTATAGATGGGTGGGGGCTAAGTGACAGGGTTGACTATCTCTATTATACCACACGCACACGTTTGCATACCACAGTATGCACACACATAAGAACACAAAGACAAACCGTACATACACACAGATTCAGTATAAACACCAACGCAATCACACACACGTTGTACATCAATGGTTGAAAATGCATCATACACCTTGATGGAATGCATGGTGAAGTGAGCTGGGGTTAGGATGGCAGTGGGAGTGAGAAGACGGGGAGAGCCTCCACACGCCCATCTCTCCTGCAGGGCTTTAATGTCACACAGCAGCCAATGTCGTTAGTGTTGGGCTATGTCAAGTGGTGTACTCCACACGGAAACTGACAGGAATGTCAAATTGTTCTCACATGAGATTTTCTTTCACTGTCACTCGTGAATGTGCAAATATACATGCACACACACGCAGGAGCAGACACACTGACTCTTTCTCTTTTTATCCCTAATAAACCATGAGCAGTCGGTGTCACATCGGGCTGTAAATATAAACGGACTAATTATGTGTCCACTCACCTGTGTCATTAATAATCTTACTGCTGTGCAATCCATATGTGAGTTTATATTTGGGAATGACCACACACATACACACACAGGCTGAATATACACAGCAGAGAGGTCAGTCGGAGGCACCTCTAGACCCCAGACTCCCTGCTATTCTCAGAATGGTGATGTAACTACTGCTATTAGCATCTCACATTTAGAGCCTGGATACCTAAAACCAACCAGGCAGCTACTGAGCAACTCACTATTTGGATCGCTTCCACTTATTCGCTTCACACCTATACTTGACAATCAACATAACAGCCACACAAATCAGCGTTAACAAACAACTTTGTAGTAGGGTTCAGGTAGAGTTCAGCATCCTCTACAAAGGAAACCCATTAACGTATGGTAATATGGCTTCATAAGTAACACTTATGCTGATAAGACTGGAGTCGGAACTACATTTGTTCTAGAAAAACAACTGTCATTCTAGGTCTGACTATAAGATTAGCTGATATTGCCACATGATGAGTTTCTCCTGTCTAATTTCAATGTAAGGACAACATCCTCCTTAGTCAACAGCTGTGACAATGACATAATCAATACCTTGTTTCAGTCTGCATCTTAAAGAGGCAGCCACATTTGCAACAGTATACAAAAACTATGAGATTAGCTGGGCCATTTACTAAGCAGGTACTCTAGCCTACATTTACAATTGGTATAACCGTAAACTCATGAACACGCTGGGTCAAAATATATTGCCACATTTTTTAATCAAACATGGATGCCTTAGGTTGATATTTCAAGAATTAACACAATCTGTGTCCGCTGTCTTCGTGCCAATGATAAAGTGATAATGTACAAATCCCCAAAATGTATCTCCACCAACCACCCACCCTACACATGTTGGTGTTTCCGCAGCCTACTGCAGTGATTGATGTGTCAGCACTCAGCAGACATGATCAAAAGGCAGCTGCCCCCCCAGAACTTTCTGATCACGTGCCAAGGATTATAGAGGTATGTTAAAAAGCTGACAACTGAGTGAGCTGACAAAGTGCTAATGACATAACCAGAATCAGGGAAGCATCAGGAGACCAATACAATCTTAAAAGGCTGAAGCCCCTGAGTTTATGTCGCTATTATAGCTATTATCTATTTACTACAGATGTTATCCTTTAAGCCACATGAGACTTTACAAAATATGACAGACAAGCACTCGAGCAGCATCTGACCGTACATCCCCAATGGTTTCTGACGTTTGATGGATCTGATTTGACAGTTCTGAGTCACATCCCTCATGCATGAAAACTATGTGACTTTGATAAGCATCTCCCATCAGGTTTCACATGTAAAGGAAATAATTAAGGCCTATAAAAACAATTAAAACCAACATGACACGGCAACAGCTTAGGAATGATCTCATTAAAGTACCAGCACAAACTATTTTTATAGCGACTGACACACTCTCACACTCAAATACACTGACTGACACTTTGACCTATGAGCCACTCCGGACTACAGTGGCCGCGTCGACATGGTTTCGCCCGTACAGTTTCAACACCTAATTCATTATCAGCTTCAGCAAGGCCCTGCCATTCCCAGTTAAGTAAGTGGCAGGATATAAAAAGCAGAAGAGCTGTTCTTGTACACATTGGTAAGTTTCACTTACTGGAAAACACTTAAACCTGGGAGCAGATTAAAAAAAAAGGAAAATATCTCGACAAATATATAGTTCAGCAGAGACGATACCAGCATTTTGCTTATTTGTAACAGCACAAAATGCAGAGAAATACAAGCTACATACGACGAGAATCTCAATCTCTTCAGAGCACTTTATACAATTCATACTGTTATTAGTTCTCAAGGAAACTATCAAAACTCATTGACACATTTTACTTTATCTCATTATATATTTAAAATGGTACAACAGTAGTTTTGTTTATAATGAACAGAAATGATTAAATCTATGTTTTTAAAAATCTGTTTTTTTCCTCCCATTAATCTTTATCTACAAGCTCCAGGCAGCAAACATCACTTAAAGATCAACAGACTGCTTTTGTTTATATCTGACCTACCTGTGTGGTCTAGGTTGTCTTCAAACACCTCCTGGTAACAGGATAGACTCCCTAATACCTCTGTGTTGAGTCGCTAATTAGTTTAAAGCATCGCTCAATCCTCGACTGCTTACAGCCTTTTTTAAACTTGTGTTTGTTCCTACTATTAAATTCACTGGACGTTAAAAGTTAGTTAATTTGGATTATTATACATTTAAGTTTTAAGATATCACAATAGTAAGAAATTAGTGTTAAAAACAGTTGTTTGATATATTCATTGCATATTCCATTAGATCCAAGTTAGGAGATATTGGTTGAAATAGTTTTATTATGAAGACACATTTTAAATAACAGCGCACAAACAGAATGAGCCCTTTACTTGATTATGATAATATGCACTTTCGTCAGTACCCTCTTCTTCGGTTTTTGTCACTTAAACATGTTTTCCCCACATCAGATAATCACAGTGTTTCACAGTGACAATCAGGACACATTGTATGGCACATGATGTGTTTCCCCATGTGTTCATGTTTCTTGCTGATATAAAATGTCGACAGAAGCAGCACCTGATTATAGATAAATATACATTTAAAAAAAGAAAATTGGGGAAGTGCTTATCTTCTCCACCATGTGATGTTATCAGCTTCTTTAATAGTGGGACATACCTTATAAATTGGCTTAAGCTGAACATATCCATCAATCTCAACAAGTTAATATATTTAAAAAAAGAAGAAACTAGCAGAGCAGCTTAGGCGGAAGTCTTCACCATTATCAAATAGGTTCTCAAGTCATTGAGACAGCTCAGGGAACTAGCATGTCCTGCAGGCAGCCCCTATTATCAGTAAGACTAAGAATTAGGCAAGCTTTTCTCACACCACTTGAGCCATGACATCAGCCTCTGAAGAAGGGCAGAGAGAAGAGCAGGGAAGACACAAACAGAGAGGGCACCAGAACAAGGAAATACCAAAATGATTGTGTGAGATAAGAGAGAAATAGAGTGAAGTATGAGTGTAACCCCCTGTTACATTCTGTACTTTCAAGTGAAAATGTGTCTGTGTCATAGTCATAGTCACAGTCATAGTCATAGTCATAGTCATAGTCATAGTCATAGTCATAGTCATAGTCACACACACACACACACACACACACACACACACACACACACACACACACACACACACACACACACACACACACACACACCAACACACACACACACACACACACACACACACACTAAACTGGCAGGTGCAACCGAGTTAACGCTAACAGAGATATTGTGGATCATTGGCCATCAATCAAGTCACAACACTTTGAACGGCCATTAAGTGTGTATATTTAAGCCTCCATGAGAGGCAGTTTATTGGCGCAGAAGCCACTCATGAGACAGATAACAGCCAACTGTTGCTCATCATATTGCACATTGCCCCAGACACAAGTATGCAGTCATAGAAATACATCAAATACTACATCAAATATATCATCCAGTAAAACACACACACACACACACACACACACACACACACACACACACACACACACACACACACACACACACACACACACACACACACACACACACACACACACACACACACAAGGTGGGCCTCACTGGGAGTGGGTATGAGGTTCCCGGTATATGATAGTGTTACACTTTGTGCATCATGGACACCTCACCACTCTCGCCATGTTCACGCAGCATTCAAATGGGACTCACAGATACCATCCAGTGCTGCTGGCCATTTTTTCTTTCCTCATTACATCATCCCTTTATATCAGTTAATAGGCCGCAGAGAAACACAGGGGATGGATATTCCTTACTGCTTTCTGTCAGATCTAGGAAAACATATGACAACACAGCAAGTCATCTAATATGATAGAAAATGCACGGGAGGTCTGGAGTCAGAGGCTCACTGGTTTTCATCCAAGCACTCTCAAAAAAGTGAATGCAACAAGCATATTGGTGGGTTAGTTTAAGTATATAACTCTGCAGGGCATAATCTCAATCATTTTTTTCCAATTAGTAAAAAATGGTGAAGATAAACCTGCATATAAACCGAGTTAGGATTACTGAATAATGATTGTATTCGGTACACCACATACAATACTGGACTGCATTGTAGCCTACAAGTGCAAGCAAACAATAGGGATTATCCTTAAGCTTTTGGGATGTAGGTTAAACATGGCATCTCACTTCATGCTTATGGCTACAAAGCAGCATGCAAGTCTCATGCTGGCTGTGTTGCTACTACAGTTAAACAATGTTTCTAACGATTAAAGCTTGAGTATTTAACATCTTCTCATGCTTCACCGCATTTACCTTTAATGCACTGGAAAGAGCAATCCACTGGTATGCAGTGTACTGGAAACAGGCGACCACACCGCATCCCGGATGAGCTGATTCATTTGCCCGGGTCTCAACCATTACATCAATATTTTCATTGTAGCTTGTAACGCTCATTAAAACACTCAAAATAATATATAATAAATAAATAATATATATATCCCCTCAAACAGCATACAAAACTCTGGTAGTATCCGCTGCTGCAGCTGCTCAAAGCGGCGCGGAGGGAGATATATTAGCCCGATAACAACACTGCTGATATGGTGTGGACCTACCTTAAAACGACAGCTGCTTCACTCGACTAAATCCGCAACATATCGTCAGATAAGCAGTTTCTTCCATGAGTAATGACTCAGGTATACACACTCAAACACAGCGAGCTACAGCGGAAGCTAGTGCGGTGTCCTTGTGATGAAACCGTACACCTGTTTTTCGACGCGCATGGATGTTGCGGGTGTTGGTCACTGAAGGCAACTCCCTCTCCTCTCGGGGGTCACCGGGGCTCGGATAGCAATGCGGTGAAGAGGTCGCTCTGTCTCCACGTTTTACGACTCAAACCTCCAAGGAAGAGGCAACGTAGCGGCGGTGGCAGAAGTTACCGCATGTCTTGTTTTTTTTACTACAAGCGCCAGGCGCACCGCGGTCCTGCACTGCTTTAAAGCACTCGCTCCTGCCCAGAAATGGACTGAACCTGCCTCCTGTTTCCGCTTGTATTATTATTGAATGATGCCGTGGCTTCGTGCGCAAAATGGCCTCTGTTATTTTCATTCTGCAACAGTCTACCGCGAGCTTCTCATTGGGTCTTCATGTAGCCATAGAAACGCCCGCAGTTCAATCAGTGCTCACAGAGGACACAGGCCTACCGTGTGTGTGTGAGTGTTTGCGTGTGCGTGTTTGCAGCTCCCTCACTGCCAGTGGTGGAAAAAGCACTCAGATCTTGTACTGTGTGTAGGAATACGTTATTAAAAGCACAAAAGTACTATTAGCATCAATGTGTACTTAAAGTTAAAGTACCAGAACTAAAAGTAGGTATTATGCAAATTGGACAATTTTTTTAAATTACTACTGCAGGTAGCTGGTGAATTTACTCTACTATCTTATTTTGTGTGTTGAATATAATTCAAATCATTAATCAACATTTGAAAAGTAACTAAAGCTATTAAATAAATGTAGTATTACGATTACCTCTGGATTGTAATGGGGTAGAAGTACAACGTAGCAAAACATTCAAATGTTCAAGTAAAGTACAAGTCTCTCAAAATTGTACTCAAGTACAGTACTTGAGTAAATGTACATAGTTACTTTATACCACTGCTCACTGCTGACAGGATAATGCCACTCTACCCTCTATCTGCTGCACAGCCTTTATGGTAGGCTACATGCTGTGTGTTAATGGCCAGAACATGATAATAATACAGTGAGGATTAGAGAGTGATCCACAGACCCACACTGGGAATAAAAACTGGCAGCATACCATGTTGTCATCAAACTGTTTGAAGGCAAACGTTGAGCTATAAATAAGTGACAAGTAAATTACAGCTGGATAACCTTGTAGAAATACTGGACATTTTGAGATAGGCCTAACTTGTGTTTAAGATAGCTGTCGTGGCTTCCTTCCTTGTTTTTCCACCAAGCCACTAGACGCCTTAAACAGACAGTTCTAACTCGTTTCTTTCCTTAAATTACTAACAGTTTGAAGTGTTGCTTGGCCTCCGATGGTTTAGAAGATGCTGCGATGTATTTGCTCAAAATAAAATAACAAACTTTTGCACATGCAACAAAGAAAAATAGGCCTTTACAATATTCAAAAGAAATAGGCAAAACTCAAATAAAATAACACAACTTAGGTATTCTTTCTTTCTTGATAATGCTTAACTTCACAACTTAAAGGGTACTTGTACGGTTAAAAACTGTTCCTCAACGGCGTCTCTCAACAGGTTGCCCATCACTGTGGCGTTAGCACAGGCGCCGTGGGAATTGTAGTCCTTTATAGTGCGTTGACTACAGACATCACAATTAGGTGGCCTTTCTTATCAAATCAAATTACTGGCTCTAACAATAGAGTTACTAATTCTTGATTCCGAAAAGTAAAACCTAATGGGCCATATAAGCACATACATTTTCCTTATCTTCATAATATAGGCTACTGTAAATGTGCAAGCTAACACTAAGTAGGATTGGGATTTTCTGAAGCATAAAGGATTTAGGTTAACCAAGGATATGTAAACTACTTAATATTATGTAGGCCTATAGGCTATTGAAGATATTTTGTGTAGATAGGCCTACTCTTTGTTATTCACTTCCTTGTAGGTTTTTGCAGGGATCTCTAAAATATGTTGAGGTTTTGGTATTAAATAACAGAACATGATAACAATGGTTACAAATGTCGGTAGCCTACAACTATGTGATGGCAGGTATTTGGGAAAATATAGTCTGTAGGTAGCTTCTACCCAACATTGTGGTGCATCTACACAGCAAATGCTTCCTTGGTAACACTGCAAGTGTTGAATTTTCAGTTACAGGGAACATCATTATGTGAAAGTGAAAGCCTGTGACGTCCTTAACTCTGATAGGTGTGGATTTACATCAGCACTGGCATGGTGTTGGTTTCGACACACAGCGTTTAAATTAAAACGGACATTTTAATGTAAGGTCTTAAACACCTAATGTGTTTCCCTGTAACAAAATGGTATATGTTTTAACACTGTCTTCATTAAGCAAAGCAACTAGACCGTGTCTTGATTTTTGATGGCTTAACTAGGGAATTCTCCCCCTCTGTGTCTGTCTATCTGCCTCTCTCACTCACACACTAAGCTGTTCAATTATTTACAGACTGGATGGTAGCCCTTTATTGTCAATGCTGGGTATCCTGTGACCATGGCAGAAAAACATGGGCTTTACACATTTAGCACTATGTTTTGCTTGTTTCAAATGCATTCATCCTCTGATTGATGTGTAGCAGATAAACCAACAGGTTGAGAACTAAATCTATTAATCTAGCTATATTTGGCATTGATTTCAAATGTGAAATCTCCCATAAAGAGACAAAGGTCTGCAGACTTGAAATGAAAAACAAAGGCCCTATATGCTCATGAATTCTTAAACCTTGAGAGGGACGTTAGAGATGGTCTAGTCGTGAGTGGATATGGAACCAGACACAAAGCAAAGGTATTATCCCCCTTTCACTGTATGACATATGCCACTTAAGGAATGCATCCATACTTATGCAAATATATGACAAATACAAATCTTTCAGGTTTATGCAATGGAGTCAACTCTATAGTGTTACCTTTAACAGCACTATGGTTAATTGCGTTGCGATTATGCAAAGCTAGCTCATATCATCAGCTAAACAGAAGCAACTTGCACAGCTCAACGTAAATCCTAAGGATGAAACCAAGAAGGTAATTAAATTGATGAACACATTTGTTTGATACAAAAATTATACCATGGTTTTAATCAATAGATTTCCAAATGTTATGTTTATATAAAATGTAAGTCTTCCCTCTTATTAGTTCCGTGGTTTATAGTAGAACGTGAATATTACGGCCATGTTTTACTGACTGATGCTTCTACATGAGGGAACTTCTAACTGGGGTTAATTAGGATGTCTTAAGTTGGACAGAAAACAAATAACTAATCCCCACTTTTAAATGCAGTGTTATTTTGTTGTTCACACATGCAGCGCTTTCTTCTGTCAACATTAAAGGTTTACACATTTAGACTGTTATTGATATCTGACCTTTCTAAAGTGTCAACTAGACCACACATGTGTGGGTGTCCGTGAGTGTGTCCGTGAGTGTGTCCGTGAGTGTGTGTGTGTCCGTGAGTGTGTGTGTGTGTGTGTGTGTGTGTGTGTGTGTGTGTGTGTGTGTGTGTGTGTGTGTGTGTGTGTGTGAAGACAGGCATGCATTTGTTAGACCTTTATCACCAGCTCTTATGTGAGACAGCCCTTACTGAATCCTCTGTTGCAAAGTTGGTGCATTTTTATAGGTGGTATGTTATCCACAAACATACTCTTTGCAATCCATTCTGTCATGGCCAGGCATGATGATGACTTTACATTATGTCTGGTATGCAGTAGTCCATTGGTGTTATAGGACTTTACAACACATTACAGAACATGCTAATGGCTGTCTACACAGGAGGTGTTTCAGCAACGTTCCTCAGACATCCAACTCACACGAGGAACAGAGCTGATATTTCAATCAATACACCTCTCAAAGTCATCTGCGTAATAGCTTGCTTTGAGACATTTCACAAAAAACTAATTGTTTCCCTCATGGTGTCACTACAGTATAAAAGTCACCAAGTCATAGCTCGGCATGTCACTAAACATAGTCAAAGGAATTATTTACCAGCCACCTCTGAGAGTCAAACATTTAAGCATTGGTAGAAGAGGTGCCACCAGTGTGCAACAATCATCAAGTGAAGTTAGTGTTGACGTGAGTGCCATCCAAAAGCTGACCTTGGATACAGAATACGCTGAAGCCAGCCAAGGTCGAAAAACTACTACATTACAATCAACACAAAGCATCTGGACCAGAGCCAGCCCAGAATGCCATCCAAATCCAAATATTTATTTCCCATAATAGTATTTCTCTTTTAGGATGGAAACATGAACCTTGTCTCAATGAGTGTGACATCAGCTTGTGTTATGCTTTTATGGCCTCAGCTACCAATCCTAATCCTGTCTACAATTATTCAATTATCTAATATCCAAGTTCTAACATAAACTACTGCCTCTCTTAAAATAGTCGGCAATAAAGGAGGAGAGCAGGCTCGCACATGGATCTTGTGAGAAAATAACTCTATTATCTGAGCAGTGGCACTCGCTCACATCTTTCCACAGAAGCTTTCCAAAGAGATCCACATTTGGAACAGCTGATACTGAGGTTCACTCTTCTGGCCAATGTTAAATTGGTACAGTGGTGCTGAATGAGTGGATGGCTTATGAGTGCATGAGGACAATGTCTGGCAATGACATCCTGCCACTTTCACTTATAATCCAGACTTGCTTTGATGTCTAAGAGCTGACCAGGTGAAATGCCTTATCAAATCTGTGAGAGATATAATGGCGGCTGATGTAGAGTCCTGCATCATCTCCCTGTTTAACGTTGTTACTGAAGTGCATGTTGACCCTTTACCTTCTGTTTATGGTTTTAGGATCATTTTGTAATATAAAATATTATTAAATGTCCTTTTTTGTAGTGCATAAATTACTGGTAGTCAGACGTCTATCAAAAATAAATCTTCTTTGACTGGTCTAAAGGTACATTTCCACCTAGAATAAGAAGAACAAATGCGACCATAATTCAACCGACGAAAATAAAAGAATCACTTCATCTAACACGCACCCTGGCTTCTGCCTTCATACTATGCTCTCTCTCAATCACACAGAGACCCGGTGAAAATGCCTGTGTCACTCACTTTTTAACACAAGAAACAGCACTCCATTGTGATGAAATACTGTATGGGTGAAGCTGACAGAGGAGAGACAAGGATGGAAGAGATAAGATGAAGGCTAAAATAATTTAAAAAAGACACAATGGAGGAAGAAGCAGAGATGCAAGATAGTAAGCTTTATACAAGCGAAAATCCTCATGTTTACCTATTCACATGTGATTACCTCATTGGCTGCATACTGTGTGACAATGCATATTACTTTAATGAATGTTCTAAAAAGAAGATAGATATATGCAGAGATTCACATCCCTGTTTTTACAAATTCCTGTTTATGTGCTGATAGAAAATAAGCGAATG